TATTCTTAAGATTAATTTATTTCGCATTCCATCCAGATATGGCATTCTTTTCTCTTTAACACATACTTGCAGAAGAATATGATTTTAAGGGTAATTTTATCTTGTTCTGTAAAGAGTTAATCATCAGTGCATGCAATAGATATTTTTTCCAAGTGCTCTTTCTTCTTTGATTATGGAATGCATTTTTTAAAAATTGTAATATTCTAAACTAATTCACAGAGAAAAATATAGGTACCTACAGTAGTATAAGCAATATAAAATGCATAATCATGATAATCATAAAAAGGGGGAAGGAAGGCTCTGGAAAATTATGTTATAAATAGAACAACTTGAAAAAAATACCAGTTTTCTTAGTTACTGTTTTGTTGAGATTATTGAATTAAATTATTAAAATACTGCTGTTCCTTGCTTATCTTTGGATAGCAGCTGGTAGCTGGTAAATTGATTTCCTCAACTCAACGCATGGCTAATAGATATGCTGTTTGGGAAATTTGAAAATTGTAATCCTGACCTATCAGGAGAGCACTGAGTTAAAGATAGCTGTATTAAGCAAAGACCTGTAATGAGTGAGCATTTTAAAGGGAATTTTAGCTTATATATTCAAAAATTGAAGGTCTGTAATAGCCATTTATGTTTCCATGTGAGGGAAGAATATTTGCGTTTATGAATTTGTATTTCTTTTTGCATATGTATCTGTTTAAAACAACTTGATTTGACCTCGCTCAGACAATTGGTGACCACCTTTCAAGGTAGACCAGGTCAGGAAGCAGACTCCACAGAAAGTCTAGAACTATATTTTATTGAGATAGGCTATATAAATAGAATCTTGCAAGTCTGTCCATATCTTCCTTTATCTCCCTCTTATAGCCCAGAGACTTGGGGGGCAATTAGCATGAGTCTTTTTGTAATATTCTCCTGCCTCTCTGGACTTAACATGTTTCTTCTGCCCCTGCTGTTTCCTTAACAGCCTCTGGATTCCTCCAGGATCATTTATCTGGCTTGTATAAGTAGCAATAATTGTATCTGGCAATATGTTACTTGACCTGTTTTACAAACAGTTAACTGAATTTATAACTTCCACAATAAATAGCTGAACATAAATATGTTCCAGTCAGCTGTAGGTGTATACTTACAGCTGGTTGGAACATATCAGGCAGTTAGTAAGTACTGGTCTCTCTGCTGTGTAGCAACATCCCTGCCAGAGCTCCTAGATTCTATTGCCAGGTTGGTGGTAGAATCGCCAAGGGTTATAGTCCCTGGGAATTTTCATTTCCCGTTGGATGGCATTGAGTTGAGACAACTCAGGTCTATCATGGTGACCATGGATCTGACCTAAGTAATTTAGAGCCTGACGCATATTGGAGGTCACATATTAGATTTGGTTTTTATCTCAGGGCTGTATATGGAGGACATTACCATAAGTTGGTTGCCACAAAACAGATTACTTTTGTAGGGAGGTAGGCCCTATTAGATTGGTCTGCCACAGATAACTAATGGATCCTGCAGGGTTCCAGAGGGAGCTTCAGAGTTTGGCTGAGGCCCTAGTTGTGACATGGAATGGGCAGGTGATGAGGGCCTTAGACTGGATTGCTCCTATGCATTCTCTATACATTCTCTCACTGTGTTGATCCTGGGGTGTTCCTTGGTTTTTTGAGGAATTCCAGGAGATGAAACACTAGAAGAGACATCTAGAATGCTGTTGGAGAAAGACAAAGAGTGAATCCAACTGAATACAAGTAAGAACCCATATTAGAGATTACACTGTGGTGGTAAGAGCTGCAAAATGTAGTTCTTTGCCCGCTTGAATTGTGTCCACAGACTGGCAGACTGTTTAAAGTGACTGGTTCTCTACTGGGTAGGGATAAGTCGCAAGATCATCTATGGGGCTGCTGTGAGGAATATTCTAGGCATCTAGCAAATAAAAGTTGCTTGGAATCACTCATGATTGGACTCTGACTGGGCAGGTACCATTGAAATGATGGTAGCAGGTTCTTTTGTGATTAACTGGAAGAGTTTGAACTTGTTGCTCCTGGTGGACAGATTCAGTCGGTGTTGACAGGAGGAGAGAGATTTACCCCAAGTCCCTTGGTGTGTGGGGTAGCTTGGGCTCTACACTCTCACTTCTTCTGTTTATCATTTGCATGAAGCTGCTTGGTGAGGCCACTTGCTGCTTTGGAGTCAGATATCATCAAATGTGGATGATACCTGATTACACATTTCCAAGACCAGACCAGGCAATGCTGTGAAATGTTTGGAAACTGTGGGGACCTGGATGGGAGGAACAGGTTTAAGCTCAACCCTAACAAGACTGAGTGGCTGTGGTTTCAAGTCAGCGTTGACTCCGGTGACTGCCTGCACAAGTCCATGAAGTTTTCTTGGCAAGTCTACTGCGTGGTGTTGAGAGCATGAGTTATCATTGCAAAATCCTCTTGTTCTAAGTCAGGCCACAACTAGTGCACTAACTGGAACTGGGTAGCTGAATTCCCAGCCGTAGCCTCCAGCTACCTATGAAACAGTAGCTGTGAGAACCCCCAAACCTGGACTGGTCCATAAAGAGACACCACAACTGTCAAAGCATCTTGATGAAAAATCCTTGGAAGCTTTCTAAGAACTTACATATACAATATAACATATGCACGCTAATAAAAGTCCTTCAGTATGATTAATATAAATTGGCAGGATAAATTTTATACAAGAGCAGTTGTAAAAAGAGTTCACACTTTTAAAGATATTTATTATAATTGTACCTAAGAAACATTGTGTGAACTGATTCAAGTTTCACATATTTTTCTGAAATTTTATGTACCCAATATTATTAATGAGAGCTTACAGGCAGCCTAGCAATAACTATTTAAGTAACCAATTGCCTTGGCTAGATTTATCCTCTTATTAATTTGTCCAGTTGTTGAATGTTTTAGCTACTGTCAGCGAACATACGATGCTCCTGGAAGGAAGTGGTACACGCCCCCCACCTGCTGCTGTTTCTTCTGGGCCTGTAACTGGTGCTGAAATTATGAGGAAATTATCAAAGACTCATACTCATAGTGATTCTGGCCTTAAAATAAAGGTAAATCTGTTTTATTCAAAATCGGTATGAAATTTTATATACATCTCTACACACACTTTTTTTTTTTAAAGAAGAACATACAGGTGTATAATTGGAAGCAAAATCTTGTATCTAGTTCTTAGTACTCCTTATAATTAAAAAATATGAAAAAGTAATTAAGCATCTACCACTTGATCTCAAACTAGAGTTTCATTCAGATTAAGTTCTTGTGATCTCCAGCTATTTCTTATACTGTGAAGGAATCAAGACAGGAAAACTTACTGAATTTAGTGAGAATTAGTCATGAATATGTGTAAGAGTTGGTTTCTTGTCATCTTAACATGATACATATGTTCCCTTTTCAGGGTATCCATCCATATCATTCTCTGAGCTACACCAGTGGAGATACGGCTACAGACTCACCAGTGCATATTGGTCGTTCTGGGCTACTTGTCAAAGAAAGTCCAAGAAAAGAGAGTTTACTTAGCTATTTGACTGGAAGTTTTCCTAGTCTACACAATCTTTTAGAGGGGACTCCTCAAAGAAATACCACAGCCCCCAAGAATAGCTCTTTAACAAGAACAGGTAGAAATCATTCCATTATAATTATATTTTATTGATGAAAGCAATGGATGATGGCTTAATTTCACTCTATTCAATGTTTTCAGTATTATTTCCTTGCAGCTCTCAAGATACTATGGCAGTTTTCTTTTTGCCAAGGTATAGGTTCTCTAAAGAACAATTCATCCATAGACTGTATAGCTACTTATCTATAACTAATTATGATTAAAGTGGCAATAAATCAGCTGACACTAATGGAGTAGAAGGTGAATTTGTAGATAATTCTGTAAAAGATGGAATTATGTTTTATTCTATATATAGTATATAGAATTCTAATAAAACTATTCTATAGATTTGAGTTCTATAGAACTCTTATTGGAGAATTCTATTTTCCCTGTAATTAAAAAAAAATTAGCTGCATGAAAAAAATTTTTCCTTGTGCCTCCTTGTATCTGCCTGGTATCTATCTAGAGTTTTTCTTCATTTCTACTTTGGGTTTTTTAAAATAAATACTGTATATTATTATTAAAATTTATTAGCTGCCCAACTCCAATGGACTCCAACAGAAATCTAGTTTCTATAGAGATACGTAAAATCTAATTTAAGTCCTCTAATTGTGGTCCTCTAATTGTAATAGAGGAAAAAAAGTTGTACTAGCTTTCTTTTTATTAACAAGAAGTTGGACAATATTTACTGTGTGGTTGACACTTAATGATCATCAGAGGCAGAAATGTATGTACTGTACAAATTTTTTGCATAATCAAAAGTCCAGCTAGTTTTAGCATATGAGGAGCATGTTTATTTATTAAAGAGAACAGTGACATTTAGGAGATAATCTCAGCAGTATAGAACTAATTAGTCAGTAGATGCTATGAAGATACCCTCCCCTTGTCTTTAATTTATGTTAAATTTTGTGTTGGCATTCCCTTTTTCCTTAAAATTAGTTTCTTGTCTCTCAAGGATTGAAAAATATATTATCAACATTTATTTTTAAGAACTTCCAGTAATGAGTAATTGTTTTTATTCCTATATAGCGAACACCATGCAATCTGAAATTCTGTCTGAACATCCATTATTATCAGAACCATCTTCTGTGAGTTTTTATAACTGGATGTCAAATGCAGTGGGCAATAGAGGAAATACGGCTCAAGAGTCTCCTGTCACCAAATCTGGCCACAACAGTCTTCCAACAGGTATTATTTTGAAATTCAGAGTTTCCTTTAATATAATAACTAAACACTTAACTAAAATAAAGTAAAAATTATCTTTAAAAATAATCTACTTTGTGTTAATTGAAATGAAAAAGCCAAAAGGAAATATTACCAAACTTAAGGTATTTAAAATAGGAATGTAAGATGAACTCTGATGAGGAACTTGTCAAAAATTCCTTAAGACTTTCTTCAGTGACTGTCCCCTATCAGAGTCAATTTTGCAAGGCACTGGTGAAAAGATACAATGGCCTATTTATTCCTTTGACCTTTGGAAAAAATATAATCCACATATTATTCTCAAAGACAGAAGTTTGAAAATGAATAATTACCCCAAACGAATATGATCCTGAATATAAGGCAGTAATTTTTCCCTAAAGGAATTTTAGAGTGAAAAAAAAATCCTCTTTCACCATTAGTATATTCTCAGGAAACCGCAGGGCTTTACTTTGGAAAAAATATCTTCCTTTCAGGTAAATACAGTACTTGTTTGAAATTAATGTCAAGAGTTTTGCTAGTAGTAGCAAGTAGTTTTACTATTTCCAGTAATGGAAAAGAGTAAGATAATTGTGCAGACTTTCTAGGCTGTAATGGATACAAACTTTTCAGCTATTTTTCACCTGCCAGGATTCAATTTGTAGGTCAGTAATGATACATACACACACACACACACACACACACACACACACACACACA